TTAATTTATTTTTGTAAACGGATTCGGATTTCTAACACAATAAAATATCACTGTGCACTTTTCTTTTAAAAGATTTGTCACTAGATGGCAACACCAAATTCTGTTCTTTCTCGATTTTTATTAACAACAATAAATTCAAATTTCTGATCTATGAACATTGTCAATTTTAATATTTAATTTTCAGACGAAATAATTTTTGTTTAAAAGTCAAAATAGAATTGGTATAATTGATTGCAATTTTATTTATCATCATTTTAACTCATGTAAGAATAAAACATAAAAATTAATAACATATCGTAGTGCTGACATCTAGTGTTGAATATAAAAAGTAACGTAAAATTGCGATTAGTACGAATATATCTGCAGATAATATAGATATTGTACGAAATCTATCTGCACAATTCTTCTTCAATGAGGTAAAACTTTATTCTAAATAGTGAGATGCAATATTAAGTTTTAAATAGTTAGTTATCACATTTAATTGTCAAACTAATGCGTAAAATTTAGTTCCATCTTGAAATTAATCCAGGATGAAATTTCTGTATATGCCTCTTACCCTGTATTTTATATGTTTTGCAACATATTGTGTTGATCACTTTACACATATGACTTTAATTCCCGAGGGAAGAAGCCTCTTAAACAATTAAAGTCGGTACTGGATCCTCCAAAATTTTGCAAAGTCTTTTTTTCATTGTTAATAAAAAAAAAATTCTTTCTCTGTCAAATGTTCCAGTCTTAAAATTAAAAATAAATGAATATAAATTAAAGATTTTAGTGCATTTAATTTATGGACGATTCTAGAAGTACAGATAATTTGTGTCTTATATGTTTCTGTTACTTTTATTTCAAAATTGAGTTATGGAGTATTTATTTTTACACTATCTAATAATTACGAAAAACTAATCATACTATTATCGAAAATTTATTATCTTATATTTACTATCAAAAATTTATTAATTTACATCAGAACTTAGCATCATTAGTCACGAGCACCTATAAATTTAAATAACCTCGTGAATGATCTTTGCAACAGATTATTTTAAAGCAGATTTTTTTCTGCCCGTAACGAAATTTTATTCGCGTTTTTCTTAAAATGCATAAATATCACATTATTAAATGAAAAAAAAGTTGTTTTATTCAGGCCGACTCATCCATCATCTATTTTTGCTCCAAAGAGCTAACATAAGCACAATACTAACATAACGTTAACTTGTGTTTTTGCTCCAATATTGCTTGATAGGTCAGCTCTGATAGTATAGGAGCCTTAGTTTTATTGTCATGATGATTAGAATGATAAAATCCTTGTTAGTTTTAAAGGTATATGAAATTAGAATAAATACCCATGAATTAAATATAAAAATATGAACTAATTTAAATTTACTAAATTGTCAGTTTAGTGTACGATCCAATTCCAACATAAAAACAAATAGATAGAAACATGTGGGGGAATTAATTATCGACTATGTCAACCTTCATCTATCAAAAGGTACCTCATGATAGAATCAAGTTAACATGTCTTATATACTAGTGAATTGGTATTTAATATTTATAGTGGTAGTTACGCCACATTACTCCCCTTCCAGAATTTTATCTGTGATAGAATTCGATGAACAATTACCACTAGTTGATTAATGCTGTTTATTTATTAACTTCAATTTTTGCTCATTATATAATTTTTTTTTTTCTTCCAAGCATTTCGCTCGTTATTTTTTTTATAGCTTTTTTTTTTTTTTGCTATTTTCTCCCATCATTTTTTATAGCTTTTTCGCTATTTTTTTCCCATCATTTTTTTTTTATAGCTTTTCGCTATTATTATTTTTTCTAGCATTTCGCTCATTATTATTTATTAACCGGGAGACTTTATTTACTTCACCGGATTTTTTTTTTTTTTTAAGCATATCAACTGTTTAATGTGGATTCATCCATCAATATTGACAATTTCTTATCACGTCCGTAGGTCACTAATGTGGGAGAATTAATTATCGACTATGTCAACCTTCATCTATCAAAAGGTACCTCATGATAGAATCAAGTTAACATGTCTTATATACTAGTGAATTGGTATTTAATATTTATAGTGGTAGTTACGCCACAAACATACAAAAAAAAAAACGGGTTTAATTGTATGACGTGGGCGACGCTACTCTCCCGCCTTGGTTTAGTCAAAGAATATATAAGTCCATTGGGTAACGATGAGAGGTTAGCAATTCTGGGATTTCTGAGGCAAATGGGAAATAGACCTAAGTGCCTGCCATTAGAAATAAAAAATAATAATAAAGATTTCAACTTAAAATTTGAAATTTAAAAGTGCACATAAGTATACAGTAAAATTGCTTGAACTTTAGCTAATTATCTGGACCATCAAAAATATTTGGTACTCCAGACATTTAAAGACGCTCCAGACTCAGTACAATTATGTAAACAATTTTACTTTTTACATAAGTTTACAAATGTTTCTTCTCTAAATGTGTCTACTAAACTTAAGTTTTCAACTACAAGAAATTGACTGATGTGTTCATCTCTCCTCGTAATCCTTTCTGATAGAAAAATCAACAAAATGAATTGTATATTTCAGGTCTTATTGGGTGTGTATGGTTCATGTTTTGGATATTCTTGGTGTACAATACTCCATCAGAACATCCAAGAATCTCAAAAAAGGAACTCCACTACATTCAACAGAATCTACCACAGACGTCAGCCGACAGACAGGTAAAGTGACCATATACAGAGACATTAAGTCAGTTTCAAAATTTTGAAGTCTTGTTAGATATTATGTGCTTATGCGCACCGTATTTTTTTGTAAAATAATTTACTTATTATATGTCAGTTAGTAGATGGCAACGAATAGAATTTTGTGATTGCCATGGTGATAGTTTTGGAATGTAAATAGTTTTTGTGTGAGTGCTATATTTTTTCTTTGGAATGGCGATGCTGTGATTTTGTTGCTAAGTTAATTAATCTTCCCTTTTATTAAACGTAATCATATAGTTTTCTTAAATATTTGATTCGAAATCCTTTGAGTTTAATTTGAAGTCATTTTTAATTTTTTATTTTTTGACAGTCCCTTTTGTGCATTTTATGTCATAACTATACATATCTAAATTGTAAAGACCAGCAAAATAGCTTTTCTTTCAGATTTTTTCTTTTTTAATTTTTCGTAAAAATTAAGCTATATTATGACAAGGATTATGACATAAAATGCACAAAAGACATCTTAAACTTTGAAGCTCGCTTGTTATCTCTGCATATTCCTGACAATAGTAATAATAATGATAATAATGATATAAATAATGGAAACCATTTTTTACATCATTTGTAATTCGCGAAGATCAGCAAAATGATAATTTAACTGGAAATTTTCTTGAAGTAAATAATGTTTTATATTTACGTAAAAATTGTTTCAAAATTGTTGTCTCATTTTCCTTAAGACTTAAATTACTTAAAATTACCAACAAAAAAATTCCGTCATCCAACAATTCAGAAAAAAGATAAATCTACTTACTCCTATTTATTATTGAAAAAACATTACTTTAGATATAACAAATTTTAAGAAACATTGTCATTCTTGTAAAGTAAATAAAAAACCTAGGGGAAAACGATTTGGTTTACTTCAAGAAATGCCGACAGCTGACAAACGTTTTGAAAAATTTGCAATAGATAGCGTAGGTGGTTTTAATTATTGTAATTCTACTAAATATATTTAACTTTATTAATTGATAATACTCATGTGGTCCTTTGCATCTAAATCTATAACAGCAGACACTTGTAGTAACTATTTAAACTCCCCTGTTTAAAATCGGAACAGGAAAATCATTACATCTTATTCATTTGTTAGTCTCATGTACACAAGTGTCTCATATTAATTATTACATGATTTTTATTTTTTTTTCTCCTATATAGACTCGTCCCATTCCATGGGGCTTGATCTTCCGTTCCAGGGCCGTTTGGGCCGTCACCATAGCCAAGTTTGCGGGCACCTGGGGGTTCACCTGTCTTCTCACCAAACTACCCGCCTACCTTGCAGACGTACTTCATTTTCCCATTCAGAAGGTAAGCATTATTCATTTCCGAAAAAACTATAGAAATGATAGTGACAATTTTCCTCAAAAATTTCTTTTGTTTCGAATTTTGAAATGATAGGTTAAGAAATATGTCAATGATTTGCATTTAATCATTTGAAAAAGTTTATGTCATGATGGCTACTCCCGCGCCTATTAAATTAAACTCAGTGGCGCGACAGCCCATTGAGTGCCAAGGCCTACTGTGCCTATCTCAGTTTTCTTGTCCTTGGGCCCTGGGGTGCAGATGTTCCGGTTACGTGGTCAGCCTACCTAGAAACCCCAGTGTTTAATCACCAACCATGCTTGGTACTCGTTTTATCTACCCACTGAAGTGATCAAAAGCTGAATCAACCTTGTCCGCCCCGAGGATCGAACCCAGGACCTGTAGCACAAGAACGCGAAGAGCTACCACTCAGCCTCCGGGCATTTTAATACCTAGTTTTAAAGCAATTGATTTTGCAATTCTAAAGAATTTAGCAAAATATTTTTTCACCGAAAAATCTTAAATTATGACATAAAATTTTTTTATCCAAAAATACGAAAATTAAATGAAGTTTGAAGAAAGATTTGCTAAACAGAATTAACCAGAAATTTTACCACAAGTGTTTAGAATTGTTTTTCAATACATTATTATACATATCGATGTTATGTGGTTCCACTTCCTCAAATAGAAATTATAGTTCAAAACAATTTTTTTTATTAATAATTATGAAAAAGTTTATTATGTATTCTCATTTAGAACTAAGATATTTCATAAATATATTAATAAGTTCCATGTTTATGATCCGATTAGTTCTGACGAATCAGATCAAATAAATCTTATCAATAAAACGAGTCTTATCAAAATAAATAAAACAGATGTATCAAAATTAATGTAAGCGTTGGGAAAAGTAATAGTTTATAATCACATCACATTAAAAAAAGTTTATTTTAAAATAAATTCTAATAAAATATTAAAAGTTCACAGAATAAAAATATTTTATTCGGTAATATAAACTCACATTTCAGTATTTTCATCAAAGAAAAATTATTCGGTTTAAAGTGAATTGAATTAAAACAAAACCTTTATAGCACAAAATAAAAGCTAATTGAAAATAGATTTCAGCATTAAAACATTTACAGTACAGAACCCATTATCCGGAAATCAGAAAACCGGAAAACCAAGAAACCGGAACGAAATTCGATAAATATTCCCTTTATTTTTAAAAAAAAAATTTTTTTTTCCTCTTAAGATTTTAGGATTTTTCTTTCTTTTTTGAAAGATGTTTACCTTACCATCATTTTGGAAATAATCATTAGTGTATTACTTCCTCGTTTTTTCTTCTTTTTAAGATTATTTCCAAATATTTTTTTTTTTAGCTGAGTTTGACAATGAAAAAAACGGCTTTTTTTGCGATTCAGAAAACCGGAAAAATCAATTATCCGGAATAGCGATGGTCCCGATCGTTCTGGATAATCGGTTCCCTACTGTATTATCTTAAGTCAATTTCAATGGGATGTGAAATAAAATACTTTTCAAGATTTTTCTTTCATCTTTTTTCTTCTGCTTTCGAAAATAAAACTAAGGAAAACGAATGAAAATAATCACTGAAAATGTATTTAACTGGATTCAGATTAAGGAATTTTTTTAAAATTGAATTTGGACAATTTGGAACGTTTTCGACAAGGATTTAATATTTGTTTTGAACTATTGTATAATATTCAAGTTCTGGCTGCTAATATATTAAGAGGACGCCATACTGCTGAAGAAAACTTTTATCGCAAATTCTCTTTCCTCGCCATTGCTAACTTAAAATTTAAAAGAGAAAAAAGAAGAAGTTCAAGCAAGTTTAGAGTAAGTCATGTAGTTTCAATTGCTTAAACAAATACCTCAACATATTAAAATACAAACAAATTAGAAGAGAACTTCTTCGTTGCGTAATCCTAAGTTATCATCTCATCATTTATTTTCATTTTGATATGTTGACATTTTCTTTTCAGTATATGAAACTTCATGGTTTACACTAGTTTTGTTTGAACTCACTTTTTCTACACTTTAAATTTTAAATTATTAATGAGGGAGAAAGAAAATTTGTGACGATAATTTTCTTCCGCTGTATGGCGTGCTCTTAAGTTGAATGCAAATATTTAGCTTAGTCAAGATGAATGCTAATTATAAAACTGTTTCGCAATCAATATTTATCTTTTTCAAGAAAATGTTTCAGCTGTGCGTTCAAGAGTTATGACTGTTGACAGAATAAAAAAGCAAAATATGCTGATCGAACGTGATTTTCGGCTGCGTATCAGTCATACAGCGGAAGATTCGAAACTGAAAATGATCTTAAAAAGCTTTTACTTTTTCTTCTGATTCACGCATTTAAGCTTTTTTTTTTTTTTTTTTTTTTTTTTTTTTTTTTTTTTTTTTTTTTTTTNTGAGTGATAATCAACCTAAAAATTATTTTACAAAAATATAGACCCGAGATGCCCTTCACGAATTATCGTTGTGACGAATTGTGCCTTCAACAAATTTAATTTTTTAAATCGACTATTTTTTTTTAAAAAATGTTTTTCAAATTACGCTTTTTTGGAAATTATATTATTAACAAGAAAATAGAAAAATTGCATTATCGTTAACGATATTTTAATTAGTTTACACAAATTCTAAAATAAATTTTTATGATGTAATTTCAAATTTTAAAAAATAATTTATTTTAGCAATACACGTGATTGTGAAAATCACCACAGGTTGAAGCTCGAAGGTCAAAGAAGTGTAAAAACAGTGCACCGAGTTTCATAACCGTCGTTGAACAGTCGACCTAATTTTTGGGTTTACGTTTACTAATGTTCAATTCCGTAGTCTTGTAATTTTGAACCCAATCCAGAAGACAAGGGAACTCCTGGATCAAGTATTAGGAGAAATTTGCCTTCGTGGAGGACTTTTTTGATGGAACTAATACGTAATTGCGTTACATGGAGAGGAAAACTAAAAGAACCTTCCACGGTTAGCCTGACGACAAGGGGACTTGAACCCATGATTCGTCTACCACAGAGGATATTTTACGTCGGCACTATGGTCGGTGCCAGCCGATTTCGGAATTCGTATTGACCAGCTATCGCTGGGATTCGAACCCGGTGCACCTCATTGGAAGGCAAACGCTCTATCCCCTGAGCCATCACGACTTTCGTGTACCCAGTTTAGTAATCTGAAAAGATCTGCAGGGGTTGTAGCCCCTAATATTGTGGGGAAAAAAATTTAACTTCATAAATAAAAAAGAAAGTTAGTAATAAAAACGCCGATGACGTGTTATTTTTCACTTAGCTGAAAATTATTGAAACCAATAAAAATAATTCTCCATTCATGTTTATTTTTTTGAGCCTGAATATGAGAGTCGCTTTTCACTTATTAAAAAACTACAGCACGAATGCTTTTCATTTTCACAAAACTATTGCATTTTGCTCCATTGATACGATTAGCATAAATGACCAAATGGGCAAAACGTTAACTAAAGCAAAAAAGAACGCGAATAAGAACAAATGAAAAGGGACCTTTCTAAACACAAAATGACAGTAGAAAAGTAGGATGTCAAACACGTGGTTTAACGAGAGGGGACAGATGCTTGTACAAGATATGAAAAAGGTGTGAGAGTGGTTGCAAAAAATAGAATTAGAATAGATTTCCGAACGTTTTTAAAGTATGGGATATTAGAAAGATCATTGACTTCATTAAAGGTTAGTGTTTTATTCACGTTGATTTTTGCTTTAGACAACGTAGCACTAAATATCTTCTTTTTGCAACACTTAACTCACTACAGCTGAGAAAAAAATAATTACTCATGAGGCTTTTAAGGAACAAATTTTCGGAAAGCCCTAATTTTCATTGTTGTATGAAACATTACAACGTTGTTTTTTGTTTACTTGTAGAATGGACTGATTAATGCATCTGTGTATACGGCAGAAATCATCGCCATGTTTCTCTCTGGATTTTCATCCGATTACCTGAGGAAGAAAAACAAGCTCTCCAACACAAACATCAGGAAGTTATTTGAAACCCTAGGTAAACCTCCTTCATTTTAATTCATTTAAGTGGATTCAATTTTTAAAATTCGAGCGATTTGTGTTGTTGTTGTTTCTAATGCCAGTTGCCACAAGCCTGCTTGGTGAAACCGAGCAAATTTAAGGCATAGTGTGCGTTTCGCTTTTTCCAGTGGCGCCATCTATGACCAAGAATTCGACTTCTAACACACCATACGTCGCACCCGTTTATAGGGCGGACCCATTCATACATCCACATATCGTAATTTTGACCTGAATCAGAGAACGATCGATCTCCAATCCAGTACTCCCAGAGGTTTTGATCGGCCAAAGGCTATCCCGGCCTAGCGATTTGTAATGGCTTTTAACCAACCTCTGTCTGGTCGGGATCAGGATGAAACTTGAGGATGTAACACCAATTTTTCGAGAAGATTCTCAACGCACGCAAACATATATATGTGAGTGTGTAACACAATAAAGTTACAAATGAGAAAGAAAAGAGGAACTTTACAAATAAAATTAAGTATTAATAATAATATTATTTTTTGGTGCTCCTCACACTATTATATTGGTCTATATCAGTGTTTCCCAAACTTAATTTTTGTGTATCCTTTCTAAAATTTTCGCAATGATGTGTACCACTAATAAAAAAATGAATGGATTTTTTACTATAAAAAAATTGAACAAAAGTTAAAAATCACAACTGGCTGTTGACACCATTAATTATCAACTGTTAATTCTGCAAAAAATAGCAAATAGAAAAATACGTAATCGTAAATTTTCATGTCTAGTTTAGCTTTTAAGTAAAAAATTTTTAACTTTTCGTTCGTTACAAGATATTTCGAATATAAACGCGTACCCCTGCTAAACTGTTCCCGTATCCCTGGGGATACGCGCACCACACTTTGGGAAACACTGGTCTATATCATTGGCTATATTAATACAATATCAGAAAGCACTCTATCTTGCTGACATAATCGTGTGAGCTGACGACGAGATTATATCGTTTCGCTATTTTGTTTTGAAAAAGTGATCAGATAAGTATTTAAAAAAACAAAATGCCCCATCTGATAATATTGAATATATCCGTCATATTTATATATAACTTGAAATATATAGTTCTGCGTGCCATTTACTAAACCCTGGAGGACCATTAGTCCATTTGGTCCCAGGATTCAATGATGACAGTCTTAAATTCTGCAACAAACTGAAACTGCTACTTATTGATAATATAGCCCTCACGTTTTCTTGGAGATATAGGACAAGTAAAAGGACGGACCATTCATGAAATGCCCCTATTATCCAAAAATCAACACTGTGAGGATTTTAAAAAGTAAATGGAGGCTTTATCCTGTTGGAAAATCCGATATAGGCTGCCAATTTTCTCAGCAAATGGCAATATGCCCTGAGCGGAATTCGAACCCACAACCATTTGCTTCACAGTCAGGCACACTGACAGTTCGGCCACCAGGCCGATGGATATGAATGAATCAAATGAAAAAACAAAAACTAGAAAATCTCATTCAAATGGATAGCAATGTGGAGACTCGTGAATTCTGTGGGAAAGCTTTGGACATGGTTTTTTTGTTGTTCGTTTTTAAATATCATGGCATGTTATAGGGGGTTAAAGCATTTTTGTGCCCGGGAGCCCTACATGCTACTTAGGTGGCCCTGGTTTGCACATATATATGCTTAATACATATGTAATGTGTTTAATACATATGTTATAATGCATATGTTTTGTTTTCGTTGGTTTTCTTTGAATCAAGCAGTGGCAAAGGATTTATTTAGTTGGGACACACTGACATACACATACATATTATTGCGATCTATTTTAACAATGGGCTCTTTTAATAAACAAGACTGATGAACGAATACAAAGATGATTGATTTACAGATGAAGGCGACAGACACAGATGACGAACAGATGTATCGTAACGTGCGCTTATTCGAGCACAAATTCTTTAATCTAACATTTACAAGCTATCCTTTGCGTGTTCATAATTCCATCTCCGTCTAAAAGAACATATCTGACTCGCGATTATGGTTTAAATTAGTATAGGTAACAAAGTATGGGTATTTGTGTATACACGCTGTTTTATACTTTTAAAATGTATACAGTGTTGCAAGATGATTTACTGATAGTTATAATACTTTAATGTTGCATATTTACAAAGTAATAATATTCAGAGTTAGCCAAAATTAGGTTTTTAAAAAAAACCCAGCCTACGTGGAGGTTTTCATTAAAAGCCTATTTTGTCAGGTGATAAGTGGATTTTTTTAAATATGTTCTGCATGCATATTTATATACACTAAATACAAGTATAATATATACAGTACACTCGTAATATCTCGAACTTCGATAAAACGAAAACCTTGTTATGTCAAAAAAAATATTTTTCCCCTTGGCATTATATATCCACCTAATGTTAATTTTAATTCTCATGTCGAAAAATCTTTCGTCATGTCAAATTTTTTTCAAAATATGAATTGAATTTTTCCGGAAAAATCACAAAGTTAGTTTATTTGTAAACCAATTCTGTTCTATTTAATGAAGAATTATTCTTGCCTTACTTTCAAAAATAAAATTATCATTGTTGCATCTAGACTTATAGTCAACTATCATTATATACATAACTAATAGTAGTTATTCTTATGTTTCAAGACTCAACTTTTTAGAGTGATATTTTAGAATGTATTTTTCTACTTTTTCGAACATATTTAGCTCATCTCGAAAACTCGCTATCTCGAAATTTTTTTGGCGTCTCTTCAACTTTAAGATATCGAGAGTTTGTTGTCAAAAAGTATTTCATGATTGTTACAAAAAGGATTAATAAAGAAAATAGTTATCGGGATAACTTTTTTCTGCCTTCTAAATGTACATAATGATGAAGTTATGGAAATGATTATTCGTAAAATGTCAACAAAATACGTTATGGGATTAGTTTTAAATATAAATAACGTAATTAAGTTGATGAATGAAATTCCTAGAAGCATTGTATACATTCATGAAATAAAATACGCATATATTTTTGTAAAACACATGATATGTAGTTCACTTGTATATTTTTTTAGTACATATAGCATGTTCATATGTATTTTTTAATGTATGAATCCTTTATGTGTTTTAAAGTGTACGAAAATTATCAACTTTTTCCATTTTTTTATACTTTTTGCTCTTAAAATGAATGGGAAAAAATATATAATTAAATTAAAATGCAAAATATAAACATAATCTGTAATGTCACAATGATTTTCTTAAACTAAAAATTTAAAATGTCAGAAAGTCTGCATTTGTTTATTTTTATTGAAAGACTTAAGCCTAGCAGAAAATTTTTCTGCTCCTCAGTCTGTAAGCAGTTTTACAGTTTGAAGTGAATTAATCAAAAATTTGAAAAAAATATATTCTTTCTAGTTTAGCTGTCATAAGAGAATCAGTGAATAATTTACTCATTAAATGGGATGTGTTGACTTTCAACTAATATTCTAAATTATGGTTTTCCGACAAATTTTTGATTCAATATTTTAAACATTATATTTTACCGTTGTTGAACAACAGATCCAAGTTTTCGGATTTACGACTACAATGTTCAACTCTGTAGCTTTGTAATTTTGAACCCAATCCCGAAGACAAGGGAACTCCTGGGTAAAGTATTGGGATAAATCTGCCTTCGTGGAATCCTTTTTGATAGAACTATCCCGCATTTGCGTTACATGGAGAGGAAAACCACGAAAACCTCTCAAGGTTAGCCTGACGGCCAGGGGGCTGCCACCCATGATCCGTCGAATCTATCCTACATGTATTTTTTTTTACAGCCGTCGTTGAACAGTCAGCCCAATTTTTTGGGTTAACGATTACTAATGTTCAACTCCAAAGCCTTGTAATTTTGAACCAAATCCAGAAGACATGGGAACTTCTGTATCAAGTATTGGAATAAATTTGCTTTCGTGGAGGTCTTTTTGATGGAACTAACCCGCTTTTGCGTTACATAGAGGAAAACCTCCCATGGTTATCTTGACGGCAAGGGCACACTTTAACTCATCATCCGCCTACTACTCAGGATATTTTACGTCAGCACTGTGGTTGGTGTGAGCTGGGTGTGGAATTCGTATCAACCAGTTATAGCTGGGAGTCAAACCCGGGTCATCTCTTCGAGAGGCGAGCTCGTTATTCCCTGAGCCACCAGGGCTCTTTAATATTTTTTTTCTTCCAAATGTACAACTTTCAATGTGGGAGTATTGCAATTACTATTAATATCTTTTAAATTAATTTAATAACAAATTTATGTTGCCATTAATGACTGCGAACGGAATACCATTTTTAAGCATCATTTTAAATTTGTTTCATCACTTCTTCCAGCAAGTACTTTTCGTTGTGATTAAAATCGGATGTCGCGTTGACATCAAGACAGATATTTGAGTGCCCTGCACTTACTACACATATTTTGAAAATGGGAATGGAACCAATTGAGGACAATCTAAGAGTTGTTCTCTACAGTCAAGAGGCGCCGAAGCTGGCAGCCGCAATAGTCCAGACTTTTGATGTTATATGAAAATCCATGGACACGAAATCAACAACATTAAAACCGGAGCTTTCTCCGCACCACTATTCAATTATATTTTTTGTTTTTAAACCACAGATGAATTGGTGTAAGTCTTAAATAATAAAAAAACTTCAAAATTGTCAAAGTACGTATAAATTTTATTCCAAGTTAAAAAAACGAACACAAATAAAAATGATTACATATGTACAAATGCTTTCAGCAATATTTTAAAAACATTGCTTCAAGGTATCAATTTTATTCATGCCGATAATAGATTATTAAATTATTTTAAAGTCTCTCTATGCATTATTCACTACGAAAGGGCAAAATGTAAAAATTTAAATAAGTACAAAGAAAAAAAAATACAATTAAATTTAGCTTTATTTATTTATTTTNATTGTATGTTTTGATACATCAATAAAAAAGTCCATCAGAATGTCCTCCGCGATGACTAGTTTGGCCTAATGTTTTATCCAAGAATTCAGTTGTATTCTAATTTAGGTTCAAAATTACAAGGCTACATTGATAAGTTTGCTTTTCCAAGCAGGTTATAAAGTTAAATAATATTTATGGGAATAAAACTTTTAAGTGTTATCATTTGTATGTTTTGATACATTAATAAAAAAAGTTCATCAAAACGTCCTCCATGATGACTAGTTTGTCCTAACGTTTTATCCAAGAATTCAGTTGTCTTCTAAGTTTAGTTTAACCCTTTCTATCTCAACATCTCTGATTTTAATAACAGTTACTCATACATTAGAATACATCATTTTAAGCATGTAAAAAAAAATAAAAAAATTTACAACATAAAATAAAAAAAATTATTGGAAAAAATTTTTTTTTTTGCATTTCTGCAATCTTATGCAAAATGACAAAAAAGTGCTTGTTGCATTCCTGCAACATTGTGAAAAATGGCACTAAGATTGAAAGATTCAGCAATTTTAATTCATATGAAAATTTTTAAAACAGTTGTTACTTCCGTTGTAACAAAGTCCTACACCACATTTCTGACAAATAGTTTGTGTAAATCCTTTGCATTTCGGGTATTTGCATCTGATTCTTTTGTTAGCCCAATTAGGCCAGTGCCCAATTTCATCTTGGCACACTGGTTTTGGCCGACAATCGCCGAAATTGTCCTTCAAAATTTGTTGAGGCAAAGACATAGGCTTTTTGTGTATGTTGCAGATATGCAACAAGGTGATATAAAGGGTTAAAATTACAAGGCTACATTGATGAAAGAAAACTCAAAAATGAGAGTACCTTTTACATGCCGGTTTTAAACTTAACTAATATTTATTTGATTAAAACTTTTAAGCGTTGTTAATAGTATGTTTTGATACATAAATGAAATACGTTTTTTTTCCTTCCTTGTAGCTCTCTTAGGTCCAACTCTCTGCCTTGCACTAGTTCCAACAATGGGCTGCGATCACTGGCCGGTGGTGAGTCTCATTGTCATGTCTATGTTCTTCTACGGGATGGTGGGAGGGGGTGACGTCCCCACATTCGTCGATATAGCTCCCGAACTCGCAGGTCAGCCATTCGGACTATTACCTACGATAGTATTTATGTTAATGTATTACCATATTTTACCAAGGTTTTTCCGTTCCCGCAGGTACGATATTTGGAATGGCAAATTGTTTAGCTGGAACCACTGGATTTTTGTCACCGCTTGTTGCTGGTATTTTCTTAGATTCAGATGTAAGTATATATTGTTGATCAAAAGTAGAACTATTGAAGTTTTTTCAGCAAACACAGTCGTGAAAAGAAAAAAAAAATTTGTATCGATTTAAGCTATTGTTGAAAATAATTAATTCCTGAAGTTTTCTCATAGCTTTATTTAAACAATCAAATATTGACTCTAAGGAACATTAAATTTATGAAAAAATGATTGCTAATGAAATGTAAATATTTCAAACAACAGTGTTATATAAATACAATTATTATTCTTTTATTATTGTTAGGCAAAATCATATTGTTGCAACTATTAAGTTGCTGTAACTAAATTCAAAAAATGTTCACATCCTTACTGTTTGTTTCATTTCTCTATCACACAAGATTTTTATAATTGAAATTAGTCAGTCCTACACATTTGACTGTCCATGTATTCGCAGTTATTCATGGTTTGTTTGTTTTTATTGTTAATTGTAGCATGGAGGAATGCAGCAGTGGGCTAAAGTGTTCTATACTTCCTGCGGTATCTATGCAGCAGGTGCCATCGTCTTCCTTCTGTTCGGTTCAGCGGACCCAGAACCGTGGGCGTCCAGCTCTGATGAACCGGAGAATTCTCTGGAAGAAGAATTCGCCAGAAAAGCTTCTGTTCGATCGGACATTGAAATATCGCTCAGTATTCACGCATCCATGCGCATGCGTCGTGCTCCACTTGAAAGTTGAAGAAAAACCTTAGGTCATCTGGGAACTGTGGTTAGTTCTAGGCGACCTATCAGAACTGAATCTTCTAGTGGTCGGTCACAGATTCTCCTACGAGAGGGTGAAGTGTGCCACACTCGCAAGGAGGGGACATTTGTAGTGTGTTTCATTCATAATTCGAAGGGTATTATATTTCTTCCCAATATTTTACTGATACTCCTACGCCAGCCCAATGATAAGTGTTCAATGGCTCAACGCCCTCAATCCAAACTAAATAAGTCTTTCTTAAACAATATTCGTTGGTGAATCTCTTGTTAACGCATTTGAGTCGCAAAACTAACAAATATATAGAATATGTGGCAAATAATTTATCTCCGGACTAACTATATTCTCGATTATTTTGATGGGTGGTGTTTAAAAATTGATTTGCTAAAAATTTTCCTTTAACTTAGATTTTAAAAAAATTATTGTTTCCCAAGAACATTTTTTATTAAAAGAAGTTCTTACTGCATATTCACCTTACAATGTTCAATTTACAATCATATTGCCACCCGAAGAATGGATTTATGAGCCGAAAGTGAATACATATCTTATCTAAATTAAAGCCCTGGATATGCAGCTTGAATAGCGACACGCCGCCATTTTGGTGACCACAACTGAATGTAGAAATAAGGACTTTCTACCCGAATTCTTAAAATCCACTTTTTATTGATCTATAGTTTCATATTGCTCAAACTAACTAAAATATTTACTATTTATTCTTTTAATTCTTTTTTTTTCTCTCCCTGAAATGATATATTTTATTCTATTTAGTGAAAATAATATATTTTCTATAAATTAAAGCTTTCACATTCTATCTTTCATTAAGTCTTATTCAAATTCTGACTCACTATTAAATAACACATTTATTTTGCACTGTTACATTATTTTACAGTAATGCATAAAATATTTAAAGTAATAAAAAATAAAGAAACCACTAAGAGTTCAAATAGGAATTAGATCATCTTATTAAATCATAGCAATTTTAAATTTTTTCAGTTGAAAAGTAATTAATATGTTTTCAGGTGAATATGCATTTAAATTTGTTAAACTTCTAATTTGAAAAAAAAAAAAAACGTAATATATTTGCTATACATAATTAATAAATAATATCATATAAAATTTGAAACAATTGAATATAAAAATTTAATTTCTAACAAACCTCACATAATCTGCTGTTTTCGTTTGGAGTCCATTTATCTCTGCCAATTCTATGCAGCCATACTTTCCGTCATTCTTTATTGCGATCTCCAACAGGTAAATGATATATTTTAAAGTCTAAATTTGACCTATTAGAACACCTAATATGCGCGACAATAGGTAATTATTAGTTTAAAAATATGAAACAAACATAGTTAAAAAAAGTGAAAATGGAAATAGCAGATCGAGCGCAATGGTACTTTACCTTTCAAATTAATCACCAAAATGGCGATTGTTTTCCCATGTGATCGGCGACAGCCAATCTAAATTGAAAACGTCACGGGAAAAAGAGTGACGCTACTTGAGCTAGGTAATCAAGAGCTTTAATCTAAATGTATGGAGTACCAAGGGGAGGAAAATCACCCACAATGAGATTCGTAGTCAAATGATCAGATAGATATGTGTGCACAGTTGTTAGATTTTGTTAATCAATTTCAATAGTTTGTCTAAAAATAGATTCAAATTGTATTAATAATGGCTGTGTGACGAATACGTATGAAATTTATGTAACGAATATTCATGTAACAAAGTAAGACGCAGAAATATATTTTCTCTAAACTAAATGTACTTTTTTTGGCGGATTCAGATCTTTGAACTTCAAAATACTGTGCATAACCGTAATCTGGCATGTATAATTTCAAACGATTAATAAGGAGATCTGTTGAAAGTTTGAGCCGCTTATTTCAAATCGCCCCATAAATTTAAACGAATAAAGTTTTGCCCACAATTATTTATCTAAAAATAATTCTTTTCAGAAAATTTTTTTCTTCTGAATTTTAGCATAATTTTGAATTACGTAATATTCAATTACAGAATCCAAAAATTTTCAGAGTGCTAAAATTTCTTTTAAGTCATACTTTTCATTCCTCGAGAAGTTTTCGACCTCTCACATTTTGCATTTTATAATTAAAATAGAATAATTATAAATAAATTTTTAAAGCTTATTTGATAGCTTACAATGAATATACTATCATTCCTGTCGTATGTCACTTTCTATATCATTGCAGTGTAGGTATTTACTACGGGAAGAAATATTTGTTTTCTAGATTTTTACTGGCTCGTTGTTGCCATCCTTTTAGAACAAGAACAGTACTTTTATTGAAATGGTAATTCGTGGCCATTAACATGATTTCATTGTTCACATTTATCATTTGTATTCAATATGAAATATTTATAATAAAAACTTTTGTACATATAAGGAATTCTGAGTATATTCTTCCTTTTTTAACTTATAGCCGAAGCTAATGTTCGCCTGGTTTATATGTTAACATATGACCACCTTTTTGAAATAAGCGTTTACTTCAGCTTTGAAATTCGTGCTCTAATGTGCGAAATATAATCGGAATTTATTTTATTATTATTTTTACCATTCAATGGGTCATTTATTTCTAGTTAAAGTAAAATAAAATATTTTTCGAATTGAAACTGATACATGAAAAAAAAGTTTGCTTGGTTAAAAAAATTGATTTAAATTTTAACTCCATTTTGCGGATGGTAAAGTACAGGGGTTGGATAAAATAATGAAAACACTTCCTTAATAGCTCATTTTTTTCCCTTCATATTTCTCAAGAATTGCTTCGAGAATTATTTTAAAACTGCCTACCGGTCTGTGTAGTGATCAGGGAGTTGACCTCACATCAGGAAGGTCCTGGGTTCAAATTCCGGACAAGGCATGAATGTTCTTTCATTCTCTGTGCTTTGACTTTGGGCAACCTAATATGGTGTCCCTGAAATAGTGGCCAACAAATTTTCCGTACTAATACCTAAATGGCGATTATCAATCGAATGGGCATTGGAGGAAAAAAAAAATTAAATCTTAAGTGTTTAGGTCACGCAATTTCTCACACATATCAATATCAAAGTTTCACATGTGTGCAATCACTCGCAGCAAAGCTTTTAGAGGTTTGAATAACAATAGAACGGTTTAAAGCTTTTAGAGGTTTGAACAACAATAGAATAGTTTAAAGCTTTTAGAGGTTTGAATAATAAATTACAAATGAAAAATAGTATTTTTGAACACCCTATGCCATACGATATAGCGACAAGCTTGTAACTTATTTATATTACATTGGTTATTATATGCAATAACTGCCCAAAATTTCAAGAACCTAGCTTAAATATCCATGAAGATATAGACATTTTTATATATGAAAAAAAAACTAAGTGTTTTGACCTACATTTTCTTACTTTAACTGCTGAAATATTAATAAAATTTTTAAAAAAAATTAGAAGGATTTTTAATTAATAATAAAAATATCCTTTTAAAATTTGAAAAAAAGCCGTCCAAAAATTAAGAAAAATATGATTGTTTAAAGTAATACTTTTATATTGCGAATGGGCCGAAAATATTTACAAAATGTTTGTTTCATAGTTCTGTTTAAAATCGTATCTGGTAATTTCTGAAAATGTCCGATTCGAATATCTTGAAAATGTAAAAAGTCTCCAGAAAATTTTTAAGTAGCTTTTTTAGTATTTTATTGAAAACTCTAAGTGATAAGGGATTTTACACAAATACAATTCTGTAGTATAAATTAATAACAAATTATAATACCCTGAAATGATGGTTTGAATAACAAGATGTGATGGTAATAGGAAATAAAACACGTGAAATGAAGCATAATTTAACAGGGTCTGATCCTATATAATGTCATTTTCAATAAATCTTGTTTCTTAGTACAAATTTGAGAAAAACCTTATACTATGCAAAGCTTTTTTTTCCCAAATTAACAAGAACTACTGAGAAAACAGCTAGAAACTTTTTAAATTTTTTAGATATTAGAACCATTTTTTTTTTAAGTTACTTTATACGGTTTAAAACACAAATTTATGAAAGGAAATATTTTTTTAAATATTTTCCGCGCTGGCTAAGTGTAAAAAGATTACTTTAAATCTTGAACAATTTTTTTACGAATTTTGTTTAGAATTTAAAACAATATTTTTATTGTTAATTGAAAATTAACAATAATACGATAACTCTAAAAATTATATTTAATTTTATCGAATATTTCCGCAGTTTTAGTACAAAAATTTAAGTAAGAAAAAAATTAGTTTTTTTTTCTCTTTTTTTTATAAAACTGTCCATATCTTTATTAATATTTAAGCTAGGTTTACGAAATTTTGTGCATATAATAATCAACGTTAACATGGGTTACAAGCTTGTCGCAATTTTTTTTTCCTTTTTTTTTTTTTTTTTTTTTTTTTGAGACATAGGGTATTCGGAAACATTTTAATAGGTATGTTTAATGTAACAGAATTATTTTTACTTTAATCTCAACATAACTAATCCACATTAGTTCTTAAATTATCTCTAAACTAGGCAATGGTAAATTAAATAAGACAAAAAATTATTAGTTCCACGATCTAATAAATCGGTATTAAAATAGTTTGGAGGGCATTTTGTTTCCTTCTAACCCTGATTGTAGCCTCCCAGAAAATAGTCACTCTATCTTTTTTTTCTACTAAGCTCTTCAACAATAAAGCTAAAATAATTTTATTTCTTTTATTTATTACTAGGAAGCTTCGCCCCCTGCTCGCTGGCGCTCGCCAACTCCCGGAACTGCTTTCGCAGTTCATTTTGGATTGCTTCGCAATCCGATGCTCGCTTTGCTCGCTCATTGGATACGTTCTTAACGTCTAGCTTTTGTATACTTTTTTGAACACTGAAATTCCGAAAACTCTTCACTGTAGAAAATTCTAAACCTGTGCATTTCAATATTAATTTGAAATTGCAAACAGTTCACATATTTTTCTTACTCACACTATTCTAAATTTCAGTTGTTGAGAAAAGTAACTGTTGTAAGTTTTGTTTTAAAGTCTTTCCCACCAGAGGGCTAAAACCATGTGTTGTAAAACAATATGAAATAGTACTGAACTCCGGATGTAAAGCATTCGGCTTCGATGAAGATAATTTTGTGAGAATTTATTTGATAATTCGGTGAGAATTCAACCGTTTAGACATATGATACTCACTACGTGCTCTTGCGCGCCGAAGCCTATCAATTAAAACTTATTAGCGTTTTATATAACATAGATTAGCCATATGATGCTCACTCCGTGCTCTTGCGCGCCGAAGCCTATCAATTAAAAATGAAAACTGTTGCCAACGCGAGAAAAGAAATATCATCGGTTTTATTGAAACATACGTACGTATTAGCGTTTTATATAATATAGATTATTATTTGTTGCCTTTCCTGGTGGCTTTAAGTAATTATATTAAGCAAATCGCATTTTTTTTGTTGTTCATTCCATCAAAAACTATACATCATTGGATGTGATGATATTACTCGCGGCCAACCCCAAAACTGCATATACTATTTACTCTACTGTATACTATACTATATACAATACCGCATACTATACTATACTATATACAATACTATATACTATACTACATACTATACTATAATCAAAATTTCTACGGTACATATCCCTTACAAGAAGCAGTAAGACACTTATTTCCACAGTAACTGTATTAAAACTTCTTAGTATTTTGGAGCAATTTTAATGATCACTAAATATATCTATATAATACTTTATATATAAAATAGTATATTTGGTACTTATTGCTTAGATATAACTCTGACATATTTGAGTTTTTCGAACATTTGGTTTTATAAACAATGTGGAAAAGATAAAAAAAAAGATAACTAACAGCAACAAATGCTGAAAAATTATTGGAAAAAAGATCCTGATTTACGACGACATAAACGCGTAACGTTTAAACGTTTTAAACACGTCGATAGGTGATTATTCAATTTTGAAATTCATGGTAATAACATTGTATTAGAAATGTTTTTATTTCTAATGCCTACCTGAGTTAACATTTCGTCAATTCAGGCATTTTACAGGGAAGATTTGTTGGACACTTTTTCACCATATTAGGTGGGCCAACGTCGCTGCCGCAGTAAGGACAGATAGTACAGAGAATGTAAGAACATACATGCCTTCCCCGGGATTTAAACCCAGAAGTTTTCCGATGCAAGGCCAGCTCCCTGATCCTTACACAGTCCGGTTGGCACATTAAAAATATCGTTCTTTGAAAGAAAGAAAAAAACGAAATCCTAGTGGAGAGTCTGCTTTCTTTTCCATTTTGCAAACAGAAGAATACATAAGCAGACTTACTACAGGCATATGTGGCAAAATTTTTAAAATTGATATTCGTTTCTTGGATCCAAATTTAATGTTTTTAAATTGAAAAATCTTAAAATTTTAGCCATGCTGTTTGAATTTTATGTTTTAGGCTACCGCTGGACTTACTCTTTTTCTCAAATGAAGAAATTAGCATTTCGCCAAACACAGGTGTTTACTTAACATCATGCCCACTTATTAAAAGAATCCTTTTCTTGTGTAAAAACTATATAGCAATTTTAAGAAAAAATAAAAACAATTTTACAATTTAATGAGAAAAACTATTTCGAAGTTTGAACTATGCGGCATTATAACAGGGTGTCCCGTAAATATTGCGACTAACTTCTAGGGAAAGTAGGGCACATCATAAGAATTAAGAATTTACCTAGGAAACCATGACCGGAAATGTTATCGTAGGCAGCTAAGAGCACTTTCCTATTATGAACTGTTACATCGTGTGCCGTTGAACATCAGGTACTTTCATTTATCTAAATTATCTTAATTTTTTCTTTTTTTATTATTTATCGTCAATAACTGCTTTCAAATAGGTACAGTATTAGATGTTTTATCGTAATTTAATGATTTGGCGAATAACTAGATAAGCTCGCCTAATCATCAGATTACGATAACTCTCGACAATAACTAATAGTAACATAGAAAAGTGCTCGCCTTCCAATGAGGTGAACCGGGTTCGAATCACGGCAATTGCTGATTCATTCGAATCCTATACCCAGCTCGCACCGACCACAGTGCTGACGTAAAATATCCTCAGTGGTAGAAGCATCATAGGTTAGAATCTCCTTGCAGTCAGGCTAACCATGAATGGTTTTTATTAAATTTTTGTTATCGTATAATGTTTGCGCCATAAGAGTGAATTCTCAAATCTTGTGATAGAGAATGCGATAGTAAGTTTTATTTATTACTGTAAAGTAATTTTTAAGCTTACACTATGTGGTAGATAGTGGTTCAAAATAACAGAAATTGCCCATTACTGCTTCGAAAACTTATTAGAAACGCACTTCTTCTGAAACGTTGTGGTAAAAAATACAAGATGTGAAATACTTTTTAATTTAAG